AAAGATCAAGCATGTCATTTTAATTCCCCCTCAGGAACACAGGCAAAACAGAAGTGTTAAAAGACTTGACATTTTAGGTGACTGGGAAATAAAACATGGAGGAGAGCGGAAGACATGTTATGGAGTTGCGTCAGAATACTCAGTGTGCCAAGTAGTAGCATCCACAAGGCTGCAGTGGCTGGATCCCAGTGAGCAGCCAGAAGAGAAGCTACAGATGCACTTTAGTGCCCACTGCGGCCTCAAGCAAAAGGAGATCAGAAGCTGCTTCTTTCATGGGAAAAGATCTGTCTCCCCCTCCTTACTCCTTCCCCTCCGCATCATGTCAGAGCTGGGCAGAGGTGGCTAGGAAGCTGCCACCTTTACTTGAGGAAGGGGTACAATGCTGTGAGATCGTGTACTTGCCTCCTCTACCCCACACACCTGGCACAACCCAGTAAATCAAAAACACAATAGAAAAAAGAGGTAGCTCTGGGAATTGTTGGAAAACCAATTCTCCACAGCCTGTAACCGAGGGACACCCACTATCCCCGTGACATTTTCCTTAACTGAAGCGACGTCCCTCCACGCAATCCCAGAGCTGCAAACAGTGCTGGGAAGAGAAAAACCTTGTGCCTACAGAACCATCTACTGGAAAATCAAAAGAAGTACCCTCTTGCTGAGTCATTGAGAGCAAAATGGTACCTAAGCAAGAAAAGAGCTCACTATACAACCTGAAATGCCCAGAGAAACATCAAAAGGCATGAACAATCAAGGTAACTTGGGAACACAGAAAGAAAATGAAGACTCCAGAAACCGAACTCAAGTCACGCGAAGACTGTGATTTATATGACAGAATTTGAGATTCTAGTTATGAAGCTCAAGCAGACAAGAGAGATCCCTGAAAGACAAAATTCAATGAGCTCAGGAAGAAAGCTAATGAACAGAAGATTTTACCAAAATCATATAAAAAGACAACCAAACAGAAATTCTGGAGCTGAAGAACTCAATAAATGAGATGAGGAAATGCATCAGAGAAAACATGAGAAACATAAAGTAGACAGTTGGAAGAAAGAAGGAGTGGGCATGAAGAGAGAAACCTAAAAATGAAAAGAACTCTATGAGAACTATCTGATGCCATGGGCACTAACGATCTTGGGGAAAAAAAAACCCTGGACTTTAGAATAGCAGATACTATCAAAAACACCAAATTTTATCAACAAGATCTTTCTCCCAGACACTTTTATTTAACCTGTCAAAAATTAATGACAAAGAAAGAATTCTCAAAGCAGCCAGGAAAAAAATAGACTGTACTCTTCTATAAAGGAAATAGCACTGTTATCAGCAGATTTTTCAGGAGAGGGGGAAGAAAATACTGAAAGAGAACCATCAGCCCAGCAGAATACATTCAAGAAAGTTACCCTTTTAGGTATGAAGGAGAACTCTAAAGGAGAATCAAGGCTTTCCCAAACAAATGGCAGTGGAGAAAATTTACCAGCACGGGACCTGCATTATAAAAAATGTTGAAACAAAAGTATGCAAAACTTTTCAGTAAGATGAATTGACAGAAGCAGAAAATTGCAACTCTACTTCAAAGAACACTGGCATTTAATTTTGATGTAAAGGTGATGGGGGAAATGGGTATTAAAAATAACTAACTACTGCAATTTGTACTGAATGTACATCAGGGAATAATTTGTGACACAGGGAGAAAAAAGGATTGAGCAAATGCAGATAGAGGCACTCAGGAGAAAAAGGACTGTGTATGTAGGAAACATTTCACACAAACCAAATGGTAAACCACAAAACAAAAACCTAGAGCTAGGATATGGAGGAGGAAAAAAAAAAAACAGAAAACCGCCAAACTATAAAAGGCACATGAAGTCATAAAAATAAAAAGATACAGAGTAACCAGAAAACACAAGATATTCCAGGCATTTTAAGTAAGTTCTCACAGAGCCGTAATCATCCTAAATGTAAATGGAATGAAGTCCCCACTGAAAAGGCACAGAGTGTCAGGATGGATGAACAAGATGAACTGCATGTGGCCTGCAGACTCCTCTCAGCTCCAAAGACAAAACAGAGGCTCAAAGTGAAGGGATAGAAGATGAGATTTCATGCAAACGGCATCCTGAGAAAAACACATGTAGCTGTACCTAATATCAGGCTGAAATGAACATTTTATAATGATGAAGGTAACAATTCATCGAGAAGACATGACACTTATCAACAGATATGCACCCAACCTGTACTGACAGACCTAAAGGGAGAAACTGACTTGATTGCCCCCAGAGACAGCAGTGGCTAGATATCCAGACAGAAAGTCAATAAGGAATATTGGCCTTAAATGACACATTAAACCCTATGCACTTCTTAACTGGTATTTTTAGAATTTTCTACACCAAAGTGACAGAATGTACCTTCTCGAAGATAGGCCATATGTTGAAGCAGAACCTAGTCTCAATAAATTTAAGAAGAATGAAACCATACCAAGCATATTTTCCCACCACAAATAGGTGTAGATAAAACAACATACTAGAATGACCAGCTACTGAGTCAAAAGAGATAAAAAAAAAAAGAGATCAAAAGATGATGATACATAGTGATGAATAAAAAGATGACACAGCAAAATTTGGGGGATGCAACAAAAAAGTGCTACTAAAAGGAAAGTTTACAGACCTGTCTCAAATGAACAATCTAACATTATATACCTTTAAAGAACTGGAAAAAGAATAAATGAAGCTCAAAGTCAGCAGAGAGAAGGAAATAATAAAAATTAGAGCAGAAATAGAGAAAAAAGACAATAGAAAAAATTAAAAAAACAGGTCAACAAAATTCACAAACTTGTGGTTACACTCAAGGAAAGAAAAGAGAAGATTCAAATAAATAAATTCAGGAATAGGAGAAGTTACAAAGAACAAACACCACAGAAAATATACAAAGGACTGCAAGAACACTGTGAAAGGCACTATACCACCAAACTCGATAATCTAGAAAAAATGAACAAATTCTTAGAATACAACTTTTTCAGTCTAACGGATGAAGAAGTGGAAAACCTAGACAGACAGACCGGTCACTAGGAAGGAAACTGAAACAGTCACTAAAACCTCCCAAAGTCCAGGATCTGATGGCTTCACTGGTGAATTCTACCAAACATTCAAAGACAATTTCATATTAATCCTTCTCAACCTCTTCCTAACTCATTTAATAAGGCCAATATTACCCTGATACCAAAATCTGGTAAAGATGACACAGAAAAGAAACCTATAGACTAATAATATCTCTGATGAATACAGTTGCAAAAATCCTAAACAAAATACTAGCAAATTGAATACAACAAGCAATACATTAAAAACATTACATCATGATCAAGTGGGTTTCATTCTAGGGACACAAGGATGGTTTAACAATAGGCAAATCAATTAATGTGATACACCACATAAACAAAGGATAAAATTCATATGATCATATCAATAGATGCAGAAAAAGCATTTGACAAGATACACCATCCATTTATGATTAAAACATGTAACAAAATGGGTATAAAGGAAAGTACCTCAACATAATAAAGGCCATCATATATGACAAATACTCAGTTAATGGTGAAAAACTAAATGTTTTCCCTCTAAGATCAGGAACAAGACAAGGTTGCCTGCTCTCCTCTCGCCATTGTTATTCAACACAGTACTGGAATCCTCATCAAAATCCCAATGGGATTTTTCATAGAAATAGAACAAAAAAATCAAATTTGTATGAGACTATAAAAGACCCCTAAATAGCCAAAGCAATCCTGAGAAAAAAGAACAAAGCCAGAAGCATCACACTCCCTGACTACAAAGCTACAAGAATGAAATCAGAACCACAGATGAATGAAACGGAATTGAGAGCCCAGGGATAAACTCACAACATACATGGGCAACAAATTTTCAACGAAGGAGCCAAAAACATACAATGGAAAAAGAAAAAGCCTCTTCAACAAAGAGTGTTGGGAAAACTGGAATGCTACATGCAAAAGAATGAAACTGAACTCCTGAGACCATACACAAAAATTAATTCAAACTGGATGAAAGACTTAATATAAGACCTAAAACAATAAAATACGTAGAAGAAAACGCAGGCATTCAACTTATGAACCTTGGTCTCAGAGGGATTTTTGTGAAGTTGACTACAAAGGCAAGGAAAAGAAAAGGAAAAACAAATGGAACTAATCAAACTAAAAAGCTTCACATAGCAAAAGAAACCAACCAAAGAACAAAAAGGCAACAACTGAATAGAAGATATTTCCCAATGATCCCTTCAACGAGGGATCCCTTCCTAAAATCTCTCAAAAGTCCACAAACCCCAACAAGCAGTGGTGGGTCCTGTACCCCTTGCTAAGTGGCCACAAGCCCAGCACAGCTGGCCACTGGTCTCAGTTCACTTTATGGTGCCTACCAGAGGGTCCTAAGCCCAGCGCTAGCAGTAGCAGGCCTGAGTTTGCAGCGCAGCCTCTTCCAAGTGCCTCTAAATCCAGCACAAAAGTGGCAACCAACCATGGAACACATTATAGCTCCCACCAGGTGGTCCCAACCCAGGCACAAATGGCAGGTGACCTTGGCCTGCATCAGGGCACCTCCCAAGAGACCCAGAACCAACCCATCTGGTAGCTGACTTCAGAGTACCACCCAACCAGCTCTGCGAATGACACCTGAAGGACAGACTCAGCAGGCACTAGAGTCCCACTACAACAGACTCTCACTCCATGGGGCCAGCAACACAACCTGTCCACTGTATCTGCAGCTAGCCCTCAGCCAGTAAGCCCAAGGGCCAACATGTGCCAACAATCAAGGCTCAACGACAACAGGAGGGTACACACATACCTCAACATAATAATGGCCATATATGACAAACTCACAACTAACATTATACTCAATGGTGAAAAGCTGAAAGCTTTTTAAGATCAGGAACAAGATTAGAATGTCCACTTTCACCACTTTTATTCAACATAGTATTGGGACTTCTAGCCATAGCAATCAGACAAGAAAAACAAAGGCATCCAAATCAAAATGAAAGAAGTAAAAGTTATTATTTGTAGATGACATGATACTATATAGAGAGAACTCTAAATATTCCACCAAAAAACAATATTCAGTAAAGTAGCAGGATACAAAACTAATATTCAGAAATTGCTTGCATTTTTATACACCAATAACAAATTCTAAAAGAGAAATTAAGAAAACAGTTCCATTTAGAATTGCATCAAAAAGAATAAAATACCTAGAAATAAATTTAACTAGAGATAAAATACCTGTACTCAAAAAACTATACGGCATTAAAGAAAGAAACTGAAAAAGACCCAAATAAATGGAAACATATACCATGCTCACAAACAGGAAGAATCAACATCATTAAAATCTCCATACCACTACCCAAAGCAATCCACAGATTCAATACAAACCCTATCAAGATACCAATGGCGTTTTTCACAGAACTAGAATAATTCTAAAATTTATATGGAACCAAAAAGACCCCGAATATCTACTCGTGAGAAAGAAGTACAAAGTTGGACGTATCAAGCTTCCCGATATCAAACTATAATACAAGACATAGTACTACCATAAAAACAGACACATAGATCAATGAAACAGAATAGAGAATCCAGAAATAAACCCATGCCTGTACACTCATTTAATACATGACAAAGGAGGCAAGAATATACAACAGGGTATAGACAGACAGCGTCTTCAATAAATGGTGTTGAGAAAACTGAACAGATACATAGGAAAAAAATGAAACTGGACCACTATCTTACACCATATACAAGAATAAACTCAAAATGGATTAAAGACTTAAGGATAAGACCCAAAACCATAAAACTCCTAGAAGAAATGTAAACAGTGAACTCTAACACTGCTCTTAGTAATATTTTTTGGGATATATCTCCTCGGACAAGGGAAATAAAAGAAAAAATAAACAAATGGGTTTATATCAAACTAAAAAGTTATTGCACAGAAAAGAAAACCATTGACAAAACAAAAAGACAACCTCGTGAATGGGAAAAGATATTTGCCAATGATACATCCGATAAGAGATTAATACCCAAAATATATAAAAAACTCATACACCTTAACACCAAAAAGAAAAGAATTGATTTTAAAAATGGGCAGAGGCTCAGCCATAAGGAGATGAAATACTGCCATTTGCAACAACATGGATGGACCTTGAAATAATCATACTAAGCGAAATAAGCCAGACAGAAAAGGTTGAAAATCACATGATATCACTTATATGTGGGATATAAACTTAAAAGCAACAAATGAACAGGACAAACAGAGACTCATGGACATGGACAACGGAATAGTGGTTACCGGGGGAGGGGGGAGAATAAATTGTTAAAAAAATAATAATAAATAAATAAAATGTTAAAAAAAATGGGCAGAGGATCTGAACAGACATTTCTCCAAAGAGGATATATGAGTGGACAACAGTCATATGAAAAGATGCTCAATGTCACTAATCATCAGAGATACAAATTAAAACTACAATGAGATATCATCTGACACCTGTCAGAATGGCTATCATCCATAAACCAACAATAAGTGTTGGTGAGGATATGGAGAAAAAGGAACCATCACACATTGTTGGTGGGAATGTAAATTGGTACAGCCGCAAGAATAAGAACTGTATGATTTCCCCCACATATGGGACTTAAAATAAAAAGCTACAAACCAACCAACCAAACAAAAACCCTCATAGATATAGACAAAAGAATGGTGTGGACTAGAAGGGAAGAGGAGTTGGGGGAGGATAAAGAGTGAGTAAATGGTGTCAAATATATATGACAGAAGAACCCTAGACTGCAGTGGTGAACACACAACAGAGTATACAGATGTCTTATTATAAAGATGTAAACCTGATATTTAACCAGTTACCCTCAATAAATTTAATTTTAAAAAACTGATGTCATAAAATTCTAAATTCCAGTGTATTTAATTCATAGAGTAAGTCATAAGCTGGAACTAAATAAATTCTAATAGATTTGACATTAGTAATCCATTTAATAACAAAATTCAAGAATATATATATACTTTCATATTCATTCATGTTTGGAGGTTCAAATTTTTCCATAAATGTTCAGAGAGATTATTTACCATTTTGTTTTGCTATTGTGAATGCTATTTTAAATCTTTAATTTCTTAGATGTTTTTCCCTCCTGTGGTAGAGAACCAAACCACTATTTATTGATTGTGCATACAAAATGAATCTCTGATAAAGTGGCTGTTGCTGGAGTCTCAGTATAGGTGCTCCAGAATTTTGGCTGGGGTAACTGGACCTCGTTTAAATTTAAGAGAAAGGGAACAAGCTAGAACTTAACTTCTGTTCCATCATTATTTTGGAAATAAGATCTTGAGTTCTAAACATCCTGTTAGGACTTTGAAATCACTACTTTTTACCCTTACAATGATTCATTTCTGCTCCATAAAACAAGTATTTTAGCAAAATATCTCAATCACTACCTCTTGTAATATTACCAGAAGAAGACGACGTAACAGTAAAAAATAAAAACTTTGTAAGAGTGTTTGTGTGTGTGTGTGTGTAAGAATAAGTATGGAATAGATTAAGAAGAATAGGCATAATAAAAATAAGTATAATAATTTAATTTATAGAGCTAAAATGTGAAATTAGTAACATGGCACAAAACAAGACCAAAAAGTGGAAATGTTAGCTCAAATGCAATAATTTCTATAAAGAACACATTAAATTGGATGTAAATAATAATGAAATATAAAATAACAGTTTAGAAAGTTACATCATTAGACAGAGGGAATAAAAGCATGCAGTCCAACAAAACAAAGAGCTAAAAATATGTAAAGAAAAGGTAAAGTGTAAGATGAACAGAGGTAGCAGGTATAAATCTGGATGAATTATCCATGTAAGTAGTATTGTAGAGGGAAAAAAATCACACCTAGACATATTACTGAAAATATGAGAGCCAAAGAAATAAATATGTCAAAGTGGAGTCAGAAAACCCTATCATATGTGAAGATTAAATCTTTCAGAGTTCTCAATCTAAAAGACAGTGTAGGGGTGCAAGATTATAGACAGTACATTCAAAGCATTAAAAGACTCAGAATAAAACAAAAACCTTAGCACATGCCTGTTTCCACATATTCATATAAGAAAGATATTAAGTCTGTAAGGTCCTGGAATAAGCATGGAAAATAACTGTAACAAAATGTGTTTTATTATCATCTAAAAAATTTACTATTGATAAAAATGCATTCTTGACAGTTATTAATTTGGTATGTTTAGTGTTGCTAAAAAACAAAATGACTACAAAATTTTGCTAAAATACTTTTTTTCCATGGAGCAGCTAATAAGTTACAAATATAAAAATCCTAAGTATTTTAGAACTCAATTTCTAAAAAGTCACAGGTTATAGGTAGAGATTAAACAAAAAGCATTTTAACATACAAGATTAGAGTAACTGCTATAAAGGAGATCATGACATTATAAAGCTATAATAAAAAAAAATAGGGTGATACTGGTATAGTGGAATAAGTTTAAAAAACTAATGGGAGAGACTACAGAGCTCATAAAATGACTCATGCATCTATGGATCATAAATTTATTATAAAAATTGAAATGACAAGCCAAAATATTACAGGATTCTCGAACAGAGAGATGAGACACAGAGGCTACAAGCAGAAAGCAGCGTTTATTGATACCGGGACGGCTCAGCGGATTCTTATCCAAAAGCTGAGCCCAGATTTAACATAATGGGCAGTTTTATACAGTCTTCTTCTGTATTCCTACACAGCTACAGATATAAGGAGAACATTGATTGGTTTGCAAGCTATGAGAAAACTGACATCAGCCAGAGAGTCCTGGGAAGGGAGGGTGCAGTCAGGAACAAACTTGTTCGAGCAGGAAATGGCCTGGCAGGGTCAGGCTGTCACATTCCCCACTTTGATGCTTGGATCTAGGACTGGATCAGAGAGCATCATCTTCTTCTAATATTTGGTTTAAAGACTGGTACCTCCATAGCATGAGGACTTTTGCTGCAGATTTTCTTTCTACTATTGCCTCTATGAGGGAGGTGGTTGACCGGATAACAAGAGGCAATAGGCATGAGAGGAGGAGGAGTACTATTCCAGCTAAGGTCTTAAAGTCATCAAAAGTGGAGAACCAGCCTCCAAAGAGGTTACCAGGGTCCCATCATTAGAGTCCCATCCTGACGAGATGTCGTCCTCAGGCTACTGCCGTGCATAGACTGGTCAGTTTCCAGTGTGATGAAAGCGGGGCCGATGTCTTACCCGGGGTGTGTTGGCGCAGTCAGTGTTTTCTTTTGGAGGGTTGCCTTAAGGTGCTCAGAAAAGTCTGCAACACATTCTCACTCTGCAGCTGTGGGTTTAAGACTGCTGTGATGTAGCCAGGGCGTTATTTCAGCAACCTTAACTACCGTGGGGATAGACAAAATGACAGTAAAAGGGCTTCACTACAGGGGTTTTAAGGGCTAGATGTTTAGCTCTTTTACCCAGAAAGGGTCTCCTGACTTAACGGGATGAACTTCAGTGGTTAAACTGACAGGGAGCCTTTCTCTAACTCATTGGTTGAGAGTCTGGAAGGTGGTCCCTAGGGCCTGAAGCTGTTGTCTGAGTCAATTCACCTATTTCCTTGAGGTCTCCTCGTAGTCCTTTGATGAGTGATGGTGGCCACTCATACAGGATCTTGTAGGGGGAGAACCCAGTTTTCTTGGCTGGGGTCAACCTGATTCTTAATAGTGCCATGGGGAGGATTTCATCTAAATGTAGATGTGTCTCCTGACATAGTTTTCCCGACTGAGTCTTAAGGGTCCTGTTCATGTACTCCACCTGTCCCGAACTCTGTGGTTGATAGGTGGTATGCAATTTCCATTTAACATTTAAATTCTTAGCTAGTAGCTGCACTATTTCTGCTACAAATGCTGGCCTGTTATCTGAGCCAATGGTAATTGGTAGGCTAAATCGTGGAACAATTTCTTGGCGAAGCTGTCTGGCTACTTCTCGGACCTTCTCAGTCTGGGCGGGGTAAGCCTCTACCCAACCAGAATAGGTGCATACAAAGACCAAGAGATACTTGAAGCCCGTGAGAGACATATTTCAGTGAAGTCTACTTCGAGTTCCTCAAAGGGAGTGCCACTAACACTTTGGACCCCAGTGGGGCACACAGCTCTTGCCTGAGGTTGTTGCAGACACAGACTTCACACCGTTCACATACCGCTCAGGAGATGCTAGAGAGCCAGGAGACACAGAAGTACCAGCCCAGAGTGGATTCTAGGGCAGAGCAATCAAGGTGAGTCCTTTGGTGAAACTGCCTGACAAAAGCTGGGGCTAGTTTCTCAGGGACTGCAATTTGCCTGTCCCTGAACTTTCACCATCCACAGGGAGGAGGTTCCCCTCTTCAATTTTAAACCAGGCTTCTTGAGGCAAGTACTTGGGGTCCCATTCATCTAAGAGACTAGGAAACAGGGAAGCAGTTAAAATTGTAGAGCTGGCCATCTCTTCAGCCACTGCCAGTTTGGCAACATGGTCTGCCCTGCAGTTGCCCTGAGCTGTTATGGCGTCTCCTTTTTGATGTCATCTGCAGTGCATGACTGCTACTTTCTTGGGGGCCCACACAGCACCTAAGAGTTCTAGAATTTCCTTTCCATATTTTATGTCGTTTCTCCCTGGATTAGACCTTCCTCTTTGTATAGGGCTCCATGTACATGGAGGGTGGTGAAGGCATACTTAGAGTCAGTGTATAGGTTAGCACACACTCCTGCTGCCAGCTGAAGGGTGCAGGTCTAGGAGATGAGCTTTGCCTTCTGTGCTGAGGTTCTCCTAGGCAGAGGTTGTGCCTCAATGGTGGAATGGTCACCACAGCATATCTGCAAGGCGTCCTCCTCCCTTCACAAAGCTGCTACCATCAGTGTAATATTCCACATCAGGGTCCTTGAGGGGCTGGTCTGTCAAGTCGGGTCGGCTGGAAAGCACTTCATCCATGACTTCAATGCAATTGTGGTCTGGCTGGCCAGGCCCAATAGGTAGGCAAGGTGGCTAGGTTCAAGGTTCGTACTACTTCTAGGCAGATGCGTGGATTCTTGCACAGCCTTCCTTGGTATCTGACCATCCGGGCATTGGTTAGCCAATACTGTCTCTTGCACTCTGGTGTCATTACTGAATGTGGTACCTGAACTGTCAGTTCTTGCCCCATAGTCAGTTTGTCGGCCTCTGACACAAGGAGGGTCAAGGCTGAGAGTGCTCACAACCAGGGTGGCCAGCCCTGGGTGACAGAGGTAAGCTATTTGGAGAGATAAGCCACGGGATGGTGCTAAGATCCTAGCCGTTGGATTAAACCCCTACTGTGACACCCATGCGCTTGTGTACGTACAGAAAGAAAATTTTGGTTAAGTCTAGGAGTCCGAGTCCAGGGGTGTTAGTGAGTGCCCATTTGATTTCTTCAAAGGCCTTCTGTTGTGTAGATTCCCAGAGCAGGGGCTCCCGTTTTACCCGCTTTGTGGCTTCATAAAGGGGTTTGGCCAGGATGGAGAAATTAAGTATCCAGATTCTGCAGAAGCCAGCTGTTCCGAGGAATTCATGGACTTGTCACCAAGTGGTAGGGACGGGAATTAAACAGACCGTTTGTTTCCTTTCTGGGCCGAGTTAGCACTATCCCTGCGACAGGTGAAAGCCGAGGTATTTGACTCTTTCTTGGCAGATTTGAGCCTTCCTTTTAGAGACCTTGTAACTCACTTCCCAGAGGAGATTGAGGAGTAGATACGTTCCTTCCATGCATTCCTCATAGGTCTTTCCTGTTAAGAAGAGATCATCTACATACTGCAGTAATGTACAGGTGTATTGGTCTGCCAGGAAGGCCTTTAAATCTGAGGCTAGAGCTGTCCTAAAGATGGTTTGGGAGTTTTAGAACCCCTGAGGCAGCTGTGTCATGTCAATTGGCCCTTGTCTCCCCTATCAGGGCTTTCCCACTGGAAGGCAAAGATTGGCTGACTTCTGGATCTGCTGGCAACAAAGGCTTCTTTTCCTTCAACTGACCTTGGGAGGGTGCCAAGGCTCGGGCTAGGAGGACCCTATGGTTCTCCTCTAGCACTCTCAAACAAGGGGGTCAAGTGCAAACTATTGCCTCCCAATAAGCAATATAAGGAAATTAGTCTGGGTGGCCAGATTGATTGGAAATGACTTGAGAGATCTTTGCAATGACCTCCCTATCGATAGCCCCCTCTACTGGTCACTCAATGTCAAAAGAGGGCCCGTCAATCTCACAAGAGGTACAGAGTTTCTGTGGGGTGAATTTAATTCCATAATCTCCTGAATAACCCTTTTTGAAATTCTTAAGCATATAACCTAAAGGTGTCTATTTGTTGTCCTTCCACCCATGGTTGGTCACACACACACATTCAGAGATTCACTTCGCCTAAGGCCGCTCCCCTCGCAGGGAACTTTCAGGCACCTCTTAGCAATTGGTGGGTCGGTATAAACTCCCAACTTAGATCACTGGAGTAGACTCCTCATGAAGATCCAGTGACACCACCCTAAAGCCATATGAGATTCACCACGAACCCATGGATAGGGGCTCAATTCTCGCTTTGTAGCGAAGCCACGTCTCAATCACACACAAACACACACCAAATACACTCCACCCTCCACCCTATGTACCTGAGAGGTCACGGTTTCCTCCAACAAATATAGAGTAATTGGGTGACCTCAGGAGTTAATCAGACTCCCTTTCTGTCCTCTAATGGCAGGCTGTTCCTGGGACCCAGGTCCTCACCACTCAGTCAGGCAGTACTCCTGGGCTGGTTCCTGCACCTCTCCGGGTTCCGTTGTGCTCTCAGAGCCGCCACCCAGGTCCACAGGAAGAGTCGTCCTCCCCTACAGACAATAGGTCCGCTAGCACACCAGGTGAAGTCCACTTCTCCCAGAGTCCCCTGGGCCAGACCCTGAAGACAAGGGAGGCGAAAAACCACTGTCTCTAAATCCCAGACAAGCCTCCAGAAATGTTGCAGGATTCTCGAACAGAGAGAATGGACACCGAGGCTATAAATAGGAAGCATTTATTGATACTGACACAGGATCAGCAGATTCTTATCCAAAGGCTGAGCCCAGACTGTAACATAATGGGCAATTTTATACAGCCTCGTACTTCTGCATTCCTACACAGCTACAGATATAAGGAAGAACACTGATTGTTTGGCAAGCTGTAAGAAATCTGACTTCAGCCTGAGAGTCTTGGGAAGGGGGAGGCAGTCAGGAACGAACTTGTTTGAAAAGGAAATGGCCAGGCAGGGTCAGGCTGCCACAACACGGTTGAAAGATTTTTTTGAGCCCTGTAAAATTGTTAGTTAGCATATGAATAAGTAAATATTCCATGTCCTGGCCACTGTAACATTTTAATAAATTATCCTACAAGTGAATAAGGAAAAAATCAACTCAACTTGAAAAAGACTGAAAAACTCTTGTGTGTACACAAGAATTCCAGATGGCACACACTTTTTAAAAGCACAAATTAAAATAAAACTCATCAAAACTCATCAGATTGGCAAAACTCAGGCTGACACTGCCAAGTGTTAGTAAAACTGTAGAAATTAATAAATATTGGAAACTACTAGTGGGTGTATAGGTTGGTAAATTTTTGGAAAACAGTTTGGCATTATCAAGATCTAAATAATTAACTACTTGTGAAAAAACCGATTCCACTTTTTAGGACAGACAAATGGGTGCTTAGATACTCCAGAATGCATGGCAGATACGGCTACCGTAATAATGTTTATAAATACAGAAAACATAAGCAAAAACATAAGGAAAGAGAAGCCTTCACCAAGAAAAAAAATATAAAGATATGTCACAGAATACTCCACAGACGTGAAAAATATGGGTAAAATCAGAATATACCGTGCAAATGGAATAAAATACATCATAATCCTTATCAACACTACTCCATTAACAGAAAGTTTTTTTTTTAATTAATTTTTTTTTTTTATGGTGATATTGGTTAACGAAACCCAATAAGTTTCAGCTTTACACTTTAACAGTAAGGCATATATATATTTACACTGTGTGTTCATCTCCCATAGTTAGATTTCTTTCTGTTACCACATATTTGACGTCCTTTACCCTGTCTACCTTACCCTTCTCCCACTCCACACCCCCTGGTAACCACTAGTCTATAGTCCATGTCCATAAGCCTCTGATCGTTTGTCCTGTTCATTTGTTGCTTTTAGGTTTATATCCCACATATAATTGATATCATGTGATTTTCTACTTTTTCTGTCTGGCTTATTTCGCTTAGCATGATTACCTCGAGGTCCATCCATGTTGTTGCAAATGGCAGTATTTCATCTCTTATTATGACTGAGTAATATTCCATTGTATATACGTACCACAGCTTCTTTAGCCAATCATCTACCGTAGGACACTTCGGTTGCTTCCATGTCCTGGCCACTGTGAATAATGCTGTTATGAACATCAGTGTGCAAATATCTCTTTGGATATGGATTTTCAAGTCTTTGGAGTAAATACCCAGTAGAAGGATTGCTGGATCATATGGTAGATCAACTCCTACTTTTTTGAGGAACCTCGAAACTGTTTTCTATAGTGGCCGTACCAATTTGCAGTCCCACCAGCAGTGTATGAGGATTCTTTTTTCTCTGCATCCTTTCCAATATTTGTTATTACTTGTCCTGTTGATTATAGCTATTCTAACAGGTGTGAGATGGTATCTCATTGTGGTTTTGATTTGCATTTCTCTAATAGCTAGCGATGCTGAGCATCTTTTCACAAGTCTGTTGGCCATTGATATGTCCTCTCGGGAAAAGTGTCTGTTCAGATCCTCTGCCCATTTTTGATTGGATCGTTTCTTTTTTTTTTTGTTATCGAGTTGGATGAGTTCTTTGTATATTTTGGATATTAGGCTCTTATCGGAGGTGTCGCTTGCAAATATATTTTCTCATTCGGACGGTTCTCTCTTTACCTAGTTGACGATTTCTTTTGCTGAGCGGAAAGAAGCTTTTTAGTTTGATGTAGTCTCATTCATTTATTTTAGCTTTTACTTGCCTTGCCTTTGAGTTCAAATTCATAAAGTACTCTTTAAGTCTAAGGTCCTTGAGTTTAGTTCCTATGTTTTCTTCTATGCATTTTATTGTTTCAGGTCTTATATTCAGGTCCTTAATCCATTTTGAGTTAATTTTGGTGTGTGGTGATAGGCAACAGTCTAGTTTCATTCTTTTGCAGGCAGCTTTCCAGTTTTCCCAGTACCATTCATTGAAGAGGCTTTCCTTTCTCCACTGTACGTATTTGACATTTTTGTTGAAAATTATTTGCCCATATAAATATGGGTTTACTTCTGGACTCTCAATTCTGTTCCACTGGTCCGTGTGTGTTTTTTTATTTTCTGCCAATACCATGTTGTTTTGATTACTGTTGCTTTGTAGTATAATTTGAAGTTGGGCAGAGTGATGCCTCCAGCCTTGTTCTTTGTTCTCAGGATGGCTTTGGCAATTCGGAGTCTTTTGTGCTTCCATACATAAATGATGATTTTTTGTTGCATTTCTTTAAAAACTGACGATGGAAGTTTGATCGGGATTGCATTAAATCTGTATAATGCTTTAGGTAATATAATCATTTTAACTACTTTGACTCCAAGAACACAGAATATCTTTCCATTTCTTTATATCTTCTTTGATTCCTTTTAACAGGGCCTTATAGTTTTCATTATAGAGATACTTCACATGTTTTATTAGATTTATTCCTAGGTATTTTATTCTTTTTGTTGAAGCTGCAAAAGGAATTATTTTTTCCACTTCTTTTTCTGAAACTTCATTATTAGAATATAGGAACACTATGGATTTTTGAATGTTGATTTTGTATCCAGAAACTATACTGTATTTGCTTATTGTTTCTAGTAGTGTTCATATGGAGTCTTTAGGGTTTTCTATATAAAGAATCATGTCATCTGTAAATAGTGACAGTTTGACTTCGTTTCCTATTTGGATGCTTTTTATATTTTTCTCTTGCCTGAATGCACTCATTAGGACATCCAATGTTATACTGAATAACAGTGGTGACAGTGGACACCCTTGTCTTGTTCCTGATCTTAGAGGGAAGGTTTTTAGTTTTTCAACATTAAGACTAATGTTGGCTGAGGGTTTGTCATATATGGCCTTTATTATGTTAAGTTATTTTCCTTCTGTACTGATTTTAAGTGTTTGATTAATAATGGATGCTGTACCTTGTTGAAGGCTTTTTCTGCATCTATTGGTATGATCATATGATTCTTATTTTTGTTTATGTGGTGTATCACATTAATCAATTTGCATATGTTGAACCATCATTGTGCCTCTGGGATAAAGCCCACTTGATCGTGGTGTATATCTTTTTAATATGTTGCTGTATTCAGTTCACTAGTATCTTATTTAGGATTTTTGCATCTGTGTTCATGAGAGATATCGGTCTGTAGTTTTCTTTTTTTGTGTTATCTTTACCAGGTTTTGGTACAGGGTAATATTGGCCTCATAAAATGAGTTGGCAAGTATTGCCTCCACTCCGGTTTTTTGGAAGAGTTTGAGGAGAACAGGTATTAAATCTTCTTTGAATGTTTGGTAGAATTTACTGGTAAAGCCATCTGGTCTGGACTTTTACTTTTTGGTAGGTTCTTGATAATTGTTTCAATTTCCATACTGCTGATCAGTCTATTTAGATTTTCCATTTCTTCTTGATTTAGTCTATGAAGGTTGTATTTTAAAAGTACTGGTCCATTTCTTCTAGGTTATTAAATTTGGTGTTATATTCTTTTCCATAGCATTCTTTTATAATCTTTTGTATTTCTGTGGTGTCTATTGTAATTTCCCCTCTTTTATCCCTGATTTTGTTTATTTGTGCCCTCTTTTTTCTTTAGTGAGTCTCGCCAGGGGTTTGTTCATTTTATTAACCTTCTCAAAGAACCAGCTCTTTTTTGTATTCATATTTTCTATTCTGTTTGTTTGTTTGTTTTTAATTTATTTCTGTTCTAATTTTAGTTATTTCTTTTCTTCTGCTGACTTTGGGCTTCATTTGTTCTTCCTTTTCTAGTTTTTTAAGATGAAGCGTTAGGTTGTTTATTTGGGCTCATTTTTGTTTTTGGAGGTAGGCCTATAATGATATGAGCTTTCCTCTTATGAATGCTTTTGCTATGTCCCAAAAGTTTTGATATATTGTACTATCATTATCATTCAATTCTATGTATCTCTTGATCTCTCTTTTTTTTATTTCTTCTCTGACCCAGTTATTCTTCAGTAGTATGTTGTTTAATCTCCGTGTATTTGTGGTTCTTTCACTTTCTTTTTTGCAGTCGCTCTCTAGTTTCAAAGCATTATGATCAGAGATTATGGTTGGTGTGATTTCAACCCTCTTATATTTGTTCAGGCTATCTCTGTGTCCCAGTATGTAATCAATTCTTGGGAATATTCCATGTACACTAGAGAAGAATGTATAAGCAGCTGTTTGGAGATAGAAAGCTCTGTATATGTCAATTATGTTCAGTTGGTCTAATGTGTCATTTAAGGATGTTATTTCCTTATTGATTTTCTGTGTGGATAGATCGGTCCATATCCGACAGTGGGGTGTTTAGGTCCCCTAATACGATGGTGTTTTGGTCTGTCTCTCCCTTTAGTTCTGTTAGTAATTGCTTTACGTATTTCAGAGATCCCTGATTGGGAGAATAGATATTAATAAGTGTTATGTCTTTTTGGTGCATGATTCCCTCTATCATTATGAAGTGTCCCTCATTATCTTTCTTTCCTTTTTTTTTTTTTGAAGTCTATTTCATCTGATATTAGTGCCGCGACTGCCTACTTTTCTCTGAATGCCATTTGCTCGAAATTTCATTTTCCACCCTTTCACTTTGAGTATATATTTGTCTTTGGAGCTATATGTGTCTGTTAGAGGTTGCATACGGTTTGGTTTTGTTTTTTGATCCCTTCTACAACTCTGCCTTTATATTGGTGAGTTCAATCCATTTACATTTAGGGTGATTATTGAAATATGAGGTCTTCTTAAAAAAAAAAATCTCCATGCCCTCCATCTCTCTTTGCAAATGTGGATCTTTCAATCCTCCCCTTTTCTGTTATTCTTGTTTCAGTTTGTCCATATGTGTGCTGAACTTATTTGGCTATAGCTATTCTCTTCTTACTGTTTAAGCTTATAATGTCCTGTTCTTAGTAAGGGTTGTACTACTCTGCTTCTATTTGCCTGACAATCACCTTACTCCTAAGTATGTAATTTTTTTGTCATTTTGTTATAGGTGAGCTGACACCTTTCAGTATTTCCTGTAGTGCAGGCCTTGTAGTGGAGAATTTTCTCAGTTTTTGTATGTCTGGAAAGGTCTCAATTTCTCTTTCATATCTAATGGAGAGCTTAGCTGGATACATTATTCTAGGCTGATAGTTCCTTTCACTTAATAGTTTGAATATTTGATTGTATTCCTTTCTGGCTTATAAGATTGTGCTGAGAAGTCTGAGGATAGAATGATTTTTTTTTTTTAATAAGTTACCGTCTTTTTCTCCCTGGCTGCCCTGAGAATTGTCTTTGTTGTTGATTTTTGATAACTTTAATACAATGTGTCCTGATGAAAAGCTTTTTAGGTTGAGATAATTAGGTGTTCTGTTGACTTCTTGAATTCCAAGCTCCAGCTCATTCCTTAGATTTGGGAAATTCTAGTCCACTGTGTCTGAAAATGCTTTCTAGCCCCTCTTCCTTTCCCTCGCCTTCAATAATGCCCATTATTCTTAGTTTCCTCTCCTGATGGTATCAGCTAGTTCTTGTATTTGTTTCATTAATTTTCATTCTTCGGTTTCTCTTCTTCCTTTTGATTTATTTCTAGATTTCTGTCTTTGATATCACTGATCTTTTCCTCCATTTGGTCAACTCTATATCCCGAGCTTCCTATTTCATTTTTCAACTCTTGCACTGTGTTTTTCATCTCCAGAAAATCTACCCTGTTCTTTTTGAGGGTTTTGAGCTCCTTACTAAAGAACTCATTCTGCTCATCTAATTGTTTTTTCAATTCTTGAAATTGTTGATATGACTCGTTTCGGAATTCACTGAGTTTTTTCAGAAGTACCATCCTGAATTCTCTGTTGTTTAAGTTGAATATTTCTATGTCTGTAAGCTTTTTTTCTGGAGATTTTTCTCTTTCTTTCTGAGATGCCTTGTCACCTTGGTGGTTGATGGTGTTTAATGGACTATTTCTCCACCTGGGCATTAATGGAAGTGTATTCTGCTTTTTTCCAGAAAGATTTATTACATAAAGGTCTCTCTTTAGCCTGTTGCAAAGAAGGCGCTTTTCTTTTGGTTTCCATTAGGTGGCGTCAAGTCTCTTGGATTCCTGCTTTATATAAAGCCTTAATAATGCCTTTTTTATTTTTCTTATAGATGTTTAATTGCGCTCACTACTCTCAGTCTCAGTCCCTGTCAGTGTTAGCGATAGTTTAGGTAGCGTTTGTTCTGATTCCCCTGGGCTCCGTGGTGTTCAGCCTCAGAGGATATGGGGGGAGGGGCCCTCTTGGTTGGGAGGTGGGGGATGCACCTCAGCCTCGGTTTTGCAAGAGTGGCTGATAAAAATCAACTGTTGTTTCTCTGCCATCCTGCTTCTCTGCTTTCTGCCCCAATGACTGGGCACTGCTACCAGCTCTCCCAGACAGGGTTGTTCAGGGAACTCGCAGCACTTTCTCCCTCCACAACCCCCTACAGGGAGCTCCAGCTGCGAGAGGCAGCTTTTTTGTTTCTCCCAGTCCACCATCGACACTCGGGTTTCTGACCTGTGGTAGCTCTTATGCGCAGATCCCACACTCAGATGTGCTGGTGTGCAGTTTGAGTGTTTTTTGTTGAAGTGTTAGATGTTCAGCTTATTATTGTTTCAAGGAGAGAGATCTGGGGATGACTCTCACTCCACCGTGTTTCTCAGAAAGTTTTTTTAAATAGGTGAAACTCAATTACTTTCATCAAGTATTTCCCACATAGTTGGTAAAAGTATCAGAAAATGCTTACCTGAAAACATTGGAGAGGAGCTTCTCTCTGGGAGTGTGGATAATCCCTCTGGAAGGTGCACTGGTGGCTCCTGAGATCCTATTTATATCCCATTTCTTGACCTGGGCAGTAAATGGGTTTTAGAGCCAGTTATTCAACTGCACATGTAAGTTCTATGCAATTTTTAATATTTCAAAGTTTGGAAGACCAAAATTGGCAGGGTGGGGTAGAGGTGGGATAAATAAATATGTGACTTACATTAAAAGAACTGTCATAAGAACAAAACTATGAATTCTTTTTCATTGGACCACATACATTGTTATAGCAAAGTTAATTGCCTGTAGTTTTTTAAATTAATAATATAAATTTCAGGTGTACTTTATAATACCACATCTGTGTACTCCATTGTGTGCTCACCACCCCACCCCGTCTAACCTCCTCCTGTCACCATACATTTGATCCCCTTTACCCTCTTTGCCCTCTCCCCACACCCAGAACTATGACATTTTAATGCAGAATAGGAAAGAGCTGGGCGAGGGCCCAGAGGATGCCCCATGTACCTGAATTGGCCCTTTCAGCGCAACCAGAGCCTGTGGGCGGGGCGGGCACGGAATGGAGCAGCGGGTGCAGCATTTTCCTGGTCATTACCTCAGGCTCGCCCAGCGATACGAACGTTTCGATCTGTGGACAGATCCAAGTTTACCAAATGTAACCTGAAGATGACACCAGACGCCTTCCTCTCGCATGGAAATAACTCTGATCAGCCTCTATTGGTCTAGTGCCGCCGACGCCCGGCGCTGTGCCTTCTGGGTAATGTAGTTCTCAGTGCCCTGGGCCTCAGGGAACTGTCCCCGGCACCGAAGCGGGGGACGCTGGCAAGGGGTGTCGAGGCTCTGAGGAGGGGGCGGCCTTTCACACTTCTTACAGGGGACAAACCCAGATTTCAGTGGAATTTCGTCTGTGTAGATCACAGTAATGTACGGAGACATCTTATTTCAGATGTTCCCCAAAGTTACAAAACCAGATAGGAACACGAGCCATATTTTCACTCAGACGCAAAGTGCATCCACTCACAGTTGAGATTTGATTACCACTGTCTTATTTGCTCTTCAAATCTATGTAGACTGAAGCTTTAGAATCAATTGGATGGGGTCAAGAGTGAAGAATGCAGACTGAGCCATAGCGGGGAAGAGACAGGGTCACACATGGCAATACAGAAAAGAGACACGGGGTGGCCTGAAGCAGGTGGAGCAATGCTTCATCTCTGGTTCCCTCAGAAAAAAAAGTAGAGCGTAGGAACTGACCCATTTTTCTTACTCTATATCCTGATATGTACTACTCATTTTTAGAAGCTAAGAGCTATCTGAAAGAGTGACTTACCACATGCAATTTCCTGAAAGGACTGGTGACTGTGGTCACAGTATTCAAAAAAGGGGTACCTGATCTCTGACATAAAGGATTGGATGACATGATCTCCTTTCACGGCTGGGAGGTAAATATAATTTCACCTGCAACAGCAGTAACTATGCATGGGGAGTTGAGATTATCTCAGAGAATTATTTGTGAAATGTTGAAATTACTGAAATTAATGATTATTTAGTTATTCAAAGTTGGTGGCCAAGATAGCTCTTGGTCATGTGAACAAGGTTAGGATCTCAGTGCGGTTTGAAGGGACACTTAAGTCTGAGAAGTGAAAGAATGAAGCTGAGCACGTGGTTACACAGGAAGCTTAGCTAGCTGAGGTTATGACTAAGTTATTTTTTTTTTATTTAAATCATTTTTTAGTACACTGAACAATACTAGCTTAAAGGGATGATGTAGAGAAGAGATAGCTTTGCTAGAGTACTAAAAACAAATAAGGCATCTGTAGTACCCTATTCATTCTCTCCTTAAGAAATACTCATTAAGTACCTACTGCATTCTAGACACTTGTGGCTGCATAAGACACAGCAGGATCTAAAAAGTCGAAGACCCCAAAGACCCCCATGAGGCTTTCATTCTAGTCAAAAGACAGTAAATATTAATGACAATAGTCAATTATGTAATATTTCTATATGTTATCTGTCAAAATAAGATAAAGTTAGGGGTGCTATTAAATGGGGTTACATTTTTGCAATTAAAGTTTTCAATAGATTATTAAGGGAAGACTCCATTAAGAAGATATCAGAGCAAAACTGAAGAAGGTCATGGTCTAAGCCTTGTGAATATTTTGGAGAATTAGTTCCAGGGAGAGAAAATCAGAACAAAGACCCTAAATTCAGGTCAGGTTTATTTCCTTCCAGTAAAAGCAAGGGACCTGAAGTAAGTACTCTCAGGTGAGTAAGCAGGAGAGTGGAAAGAGATGAGCTGAGCGATGTTCTGGGGCCAGACACGTAGAATAGGGCAGGCCATTTTAAAGAGTTTTCAATTTGTTACAAATGAACTGGGGAGCTAGGACAAAAAAATGAAATGGAATGGAACCTGTCTATGTTAATGAATTATTGTGACTACTGTGCTGAGAACTGTTAGAAGTGGGAGACCATGCAGAAGACTGTTACTAAGATCCAGGTGAATGGGATAGTGACTCTGACTGGGATAAGCAGTGGTGGTGATGAAATGTGGCCAGATTTTTTTTATGTTGTATTTTATCACACACACACCAAAAACCTCCACAATTTAAAACAGTGCTTTAAGAATTTTCATAACACACAGACATACACTAAAGGCATTATTAGGAAAAATATTCAAATATGGGTAAAATCTAAAAGATGCTTCATTGGAAGCTTGTGTAGGAGGTAGATGGTTCATAAATTTTAATTGATAACTATTTCATGTGCAACTGAACTTAAATTTAAGTTATTTGGCTTATTCCAACTTCCTATATTAAACAGCTCTTTGGCACATAGTAACCGTCAGAATGTAAAAGCACCTTTCTATTTACAGATGATAAAGTTCTTTTATGTGACAGCCTTGCTTACTCTTGGAAAATCACATGTATGTCTTCAATTACGATAGACTAGTGAAAGGGAGAATAACAATCAAATGCACCCAATCCTCTATGACATAATTTATGGCTTTCTGTAATCTTGCAGAGGGACACAAACTCTATCTGATAGGTTCTATTTCTTTTGGAGTTAATCAGTAGAACCCATCAGCAGCCTGTACAGCTACAGTTTGAAGCAAACAGCCTAGGGAGAATACAAGGATCCATAAAACCTCTGGATCAGTTGCTCTGGCAGTGACAGTGTCTATAGGACACAGGTCTGTAGGTCCCGAGGAGTTTTGTACACCCTCATCCCATAGTCACAGACAATGGGACACTGATGGATGCCCTTTAGAAGGGCACATCCACTCTGGTTTGTGGCAGTTTCCCCACTTCCTACTAATCCAACTGGTTTCTGTTCAGAATTTGGTCCCCACCCTGAGCCTTTTAAGTCCTGTATCCACTACATGATTTTTGACTTTAGGACGCGGGCAACCAGGTAGATCAGGGGAGGAAGAAGGGACATCCTCTGAGTATAAATGACCCAAAGCATGCTGCTGCCAAATGCAATGAAGATTGTCAAGACAACTGCCCTGTCCTCAAGCTAACTATTAGAACCACAAGTAATCTTTGCAACCAGGCCAGAGCACTAAACTTTCCCAGGAGAACTTGTGCAGCAATGCAAACTGACTCAAACCTAGACTGAGAGCTGTTCTTCATCCTATTTCCTCTGAAACATATAGAGTCCAATAAAACCTGTTCATGCTTTCATTCTGGCACAGTCCAATTCTTTTCTCACCCACAGCACACAGTGCATAGAAGCCCAAGAAGCTAAATGTAGCTTAAACAATGAGACCTTTACTATTACAAAGGCCTTCAGGGTGAGCGAGGAGTTCCTACATGGAGGAACCTGGTGACTGGAAAGGTCCATTACAAGCAACAAGAGACAAAAATGCCTTCGAAAAAGAGAAACTTTTGTAAGGTGCCAGCTGAGGCCAGCTCAATTCATCTTGCAAAACGGTAACATCCACACCCAAACCAGTCTGGGAGAGGAAAGGAGGCCTTGCCAAAATGGCCTAAATGCCTGGTGAATACACCAGATAAAACAAGAGAGCATAGCAATCTGCTATCCCTGAGCATTTTAGAGACTAAGGTGATACACAGTAGCGCCCTGCCAGTTAATAGAGGAAAGATGGCTTCTGTAATAGACACTAGCAGTGGGAGATCTTCAGTAAAGGCCCAGGTAGGTCTAAAAGTACAACAGTTCACAAAAGTTTTCCACATATCTGGCACTTTAACCAGCTGCTCCAGAAGGAGAACTGACAGTCCACTTGCCAGGGTTTCAACACTGGGTGAAACCACTACTTAAAAATTAAAAAAAAGTGTATAGCAAAATGCTGTCATATTGGCATAAAGACATACATATAGAGAATGGAATACAAGAGAGCCCAGAAACAAACTCTTATATATGTGCTCAGATTTTTAACAAGGGTACAAAGACCATTCAATGGGAAATGAGTCTTTTCAGCAGATGGTGTTAGGAAAACAGGATAGCCACATGTAAAAGAATGAAGTTGTACCCTTTTCTTACATGATATGTATAAAAATGAACCCAAAATGGATCAAAGACCTAAAAGTATAATACTCTAAGAAGAAAACATAGGAAAAGAGATTCATGACACTGGATTTAGCAAAAATTTCTTGGACATGATACCAAAGGCACAGGCAACAAAGATAAAAATAAATTTGGACTATGTTGAAATTTAAAACTTCTGTGCAAAAAAAAGGACTAACTGAACAAAGTGAAAAAACAACCCTCAGAATGGGAGAAAGTATTTGCAAATCATGTATCTGATAAGTGGTTAACACCTAGAACATATAGAGAACTCCTACATCAGCAAAAAAAGCTGATTAAAAAATGGGCAAAAGATTGAAATAGATATTTTCCCAAAGAACATATACAAACAGCCAACAAGCAGGTGAAAAGATGCTTAACATCATTACTCCTTAGGGAAATGCAAATCAAAACTACAATGAAATAACACCACATGTCCCCTAAGATAGTGTAAAAAAAAAAAAAAAAATGTTGGGGAGGGTGTAGGTAACTGGAACACTTAAGCACTGTTGGTGGGAATTTAAAATGGTACAGCTACTATGGAAAACAGCTCTTCAGTTACTCAAAAAAGTTAAAAATCAAATTACCATATAATCGAACGATTCTGCTGCTGGGTATATACCTAAAAAAACGAAAAGCAGGGCCTCAAAGAAATATTTGTGCAATCATGATTACAACATTATTCACAACAGCCAAAAAGATGGAAGCCATTCTAGTGTCTACTGATGGATGGATGGCTACAGAAAAACTGGCACATACATAAAATGAAGTATTATTCAGGAAGGAAGTTCTGACATGCTACAACATGGATGAACCTTGAGGAAATTGTGCTAAGTGAAATAAGCTGGTCATAAAAATAGAAAAACTTTATGATTCTTCTTATATAAGGTATCCAGAGTGGACAAATTTATAAACAGAAAGCAGAATGATGGTTGTCAGAGGATTGGGGAGGGGGGACGAGGAGCTGTTGCTTAATGGGTATGATTTCAGTTTTATAAGACAAAAAGACATCTGGATGTTTGTTTTACAAAAATGTGAATGTATTACTACTGAACCTTACCCTTAAATATGGTTAGGATTGCAAATTTTGTTACATGTATTTTAAGACACAATAAAGAAAAACCAAAACTGACTAGCAGTACTTCCCAGTGCTAAATTAGAGCAGACTTTTCTTTGAAGACTTTTCCAATTTGCAATACTCTTTGGTGTGAACTTCTTGGTGCCGAGCAAGTTGGTATTTCTTCCTAAAGCCTCTCCCACATTCGCAGCACTCATAAGGCTTCTTCCCAGTATGAATGCTCCGATGCTGGACGAGGCTAAAGGTGTACCTACAGGCTTTTCTGCATTTGCTGCACTCATAAGGCATTATTCTCTGATGAATAATGAGTGTGGAGCTGTCCATGAAGAATTTCCTACATTTGCTACATTCATGTTTTTTCTCTGATGTGAACATCTTGGTGCCGAGTGAGGTGGGAGTTTTGGCTAAAGAGTCTACTACATATACTGCACTCATAAGGTTTTTTCTCTAGTGTGGTTTCTCCAATGTCTAATGTGATGCGACTTGTGCTTAAAGCGTTTCCCACATTCACTACACTCGTAAGGTCTTTCTCCAGTGTGAGTTTTCTGATGTCTCTCAAGTGTGAAGCGTTATCTAAAGATTCTTCCACATTTCCTGCACTCAGAACACCTTCCCCTAGTGTAAACTCTCTGATGAGTAATAAGCATGGAGCAGTCTTTAACGCACTTCTCACACTGGTTGCCCTCATAACGCACTGGCCTACCGTGAATTCTCTGGTGTTCAATGAGACCAGACTGTTGAGTAAAGACTCTCCCAAGGTGCTCAGAGGATCTTGCTCCAGTGTGGGTTTTCTGGTGCTCAGAGAGCATTTGTTTATGGCTAAAAGCATTTCCACATTCATCACACTTATAATCATTTTGCCCACTTTTAACTGTCTGACTGCTCTCAGTGTTGTGTGGCTTCATACCACTGTGAAGGGCTTGCTGCTGGAGGAGGCCTGAGCTGGCTGGAAAGTCCTTCCCACCTTCCCTGCATATCAAAGTCCTCTCTGCCATGTGACCACTGCAGTTCCTTGTGAAAGAAGGCCTTGTCTCAATCCATCCAGAGAGTTTCTTTCTACTCTGCTCCTTATTGTACTGGGAGAGATCTGTCATACATGTGTACACCTCTTGCTGAGGGTGTGTTCCATTGCACTTGGCCAAGCACAAAATGCCTTTCAAAAGGGAGCTACACATCTCACAGGGCTGGGCCTTCTGGGTGGACGGGTCTGGCTTTGGAGTTCTGACCTGTAACTCTTCCACAGAATCACCTTGCTCAGAAGGTGCCTCCTCACCCTGGGCTCTGTGCCAACAACTTGTAAGCAGAGACATGCCAGTGAATGCATGTTGACTTTGGTGAGACAGGGCAGCCCCATCACAAATGAGTGTTAGACACAGCATGAATGAGTCCACGGGGCTGCTAAGAGGCAAGGGGGCCGAGAGCCAGTGAGAGAAAGGCCTGCTGTGCAGAGTTGGGCCTAGGAAGCTCATGGTGGGAGAGCCCTAATGATGAGGAAGGCCCCAAGGACGGGGTTATGTCTTAGTCCGCTCAGGCTGCTATAACAAAATACCACAGACTGGGTGGTATTTTGACAACAAAAATAATCTTATAAGCAACAGAAATTTATCTTTCACACATCCAGAGCCTGGAATTCTGAGATTAAGGAGCCAGCATGATTGGGTGAGGGCCCTCTTCAGGGTCACAGACTTCTCGTTGGTTCCTCACATAGCAGAAGGAGCTAGGGAGCTCAGTGGGGTCTCTTTTCTAAGGTCATTAATCTCATTCATCAGGGCTCTGCCCTCTTGATGTAATTACTTACCAAGGCCCCATCCGCTAATATCATCACTCTGGGCATGAGGTTTACAACATATGAATTTGGGGAGACATAAACATTCAGACCACAGCAGGTACTATGCAGGAAGGAGAGGCAGGGCCTCTAACTCACTCCTCTGTAAGCGGCTTTCAACAAGGTCATGGCTGCTGGTGACTGTGTAGTAGTTGTGTCCAGACACAGAAATGTCTGTGACACAGTAGTTGGTATTCAAGGGCTATTTAAAGATATGCGCAGATGTCAAAACACCTTAAGTGTAGGTCAAATGTCAAGGGTACTGCAAAGGCAGTAGTGGAAGGGAACAGGTGAGAGTCTTGGTCAGAAGTCAGAATCAAAATATCAATGGGAAAGAAAACGTAGAAATGAGTGGCGTTTGGCCCTGGCATCATAAAAGTGTAAACACAGGACAGATATCAGGATAACTGAAACGCACTTCTGACAGGTCACCATTTCCTAGCTCGCGTGTACCAGGGCCATATTCTTCTGAGCTGCTCTTGACACTGCAGAAGTAATGCCCACCCTGTCAGGCACCCAGGGCTGCCCTTATTGCTCAAACTGAGTAACTATCTGAACCTGGAAGAGGCCAGTCCAGAGGGAAAGACAGGAAAGGCGGTGGACAAAACATACCCAGAGTGACCCACCCCATGACGGTCAACATTCTAGTTACAAGAACATCAGAGGGGGAGCCTTTAAAAATACAACCCAGTAGTCCTCACAAGTAGTGAGCATGTTCATGGCTGAAATTCCTGGCACAGGCAGACCTCAAAGTATGTTGGTAAGTGGTAATATCTAGGCTGAGTGAGCTGACCAGGGACAAGCTGAGTGAGAGGGGTCTCCTAGACAGACTTCAAGATTTCTGACTCCTGAGCCCTGTCTGTGGATACTCAGAGCAGCTGGGATGGGGCCTCATGAGGACGGCGAGTACAGGGCACACAGGCCAGCCCTGGTGCCAACAACACATACACCAGGAAAGCAGGAGAGGGCGTAGTGCCCACAGTCTGGCTGTGGGGAGGACAGAGCTGCCCGTAGGGAAAAAGGGAAGAACAGTGCCCAGCCCAGGACCCTGGGGTAGGTATGAGGGCCTTACCTACAGAGGACAGAAGTGCAACGTTCTCCATCATCACATCATGGTACAGGAGTCTCTGAGCTTCATCAAGGAGGCCCCACTCCTCCTGAGAGAAATGGATGGCCACGTCCTCAAAGATCACATGGCCCTAAAAAATGAGGACAGTTTAGTCTATGAGCAACTTTTTGTTCTGTGTTGCCTTCAATTCTGTATTTATTTATTTGCTATATTAATTACAGGGGCCAAACTGACAGTCAAGTTTGTTTATATCTCCCCTGGCATCCAGAGCCCACTGTCTCAACCACTTCCTTAACTAACTCTCACACACCAAGTCAGTATTTCTCTGCCCAGGGCCCATGGCAGGCAACCAGGGACAGCCATCAAGCCAGAAGACCTGCCAGAATTGTTCAGATTAGTCAGTCCTAAACTATTTACTTTACTCTCCTCATCTTTACTGAGGAAACCCCAATAAAGGCTCTGGCCTAGGTATCCCCTTGCTGCTGCTTCTGCCTCTGATCAAATCTGATGCTTCCTAACGTGGCCCTGTGTGGTGTGAGTTCACTGAACACGGGAAATTTAAGGAAAAAAAAGCTTTTCAAAGATATCAATCTCTCCATGTTGTCACTTACTGATGTGTGTAAATTTAAAACCCTGTGGGTACAATCACTCATACACTTCTCTCTCCACAATCTTCAGTCCTCCCAGCATACATCTCCCCCTGCTCACTCTCCCCCGACTTCCCAGTGTGGAAGTTACCAGATGCTGGTGGCCCCGGTGCCTGCTCTTCTCTACAGTACCACTGATCACTGTGTCCAGTACACAGTAAAAACAGATTGGGAACAGAAAAGCACTACCCAGGATCTCGCCTGGTATGTGGGGCCTCACCCTTCTCCTGTCAGCCAATTTCTCCGAGATCTCCCAGATCTTGCCTCCCAGACAACCAAACTCAGTCTCTTCATTTTACCTTAAGTGCCCAGTGCCTGGGCCCCGCACCAACTATTCACACGCCTCCTCACATGCACATCATTCTGAAATGCCCTCCCTCAAGGCTCTGACCCTTCACAGTGACAACTCCCCAAAACCCCCAGCTCACAACCATAGGCATTTCTTTGGCATTCCAACATGCCACTCTGCATGCGGAATCCAGGCAGGGCACGGCAAATTGCAACCAGCATCTTAATCCACCTGGTCTCGCCCTAGAACACCAAAGTCCCCCAGCTCCGGGGCGCACTAAGCTCTCATTTGAAGATCTCTCCATCTAACCCAGTTTCTGGCTTTAACCCACCACAAAAACCTATGTGAGGATCTCAGGGTACCTGGCCCTCTCGCGCTTCTGCACTGCAAACACTATCTCATGAGCAGTCTTGACCTTCTCTCTCCACCTCACTGTCATTCAAAGCCCCAGCCTAGCAAGACTTCTAGCTTGTAAGCAGAGACATGCCAGTGAATGCATGTTGACTTTGGTGAGACAGGGCAGCCCCATCACAAATGAGTGTTTTGCCCTTAACTAATCTACCAGCCTGAATAAGACAATCCAGGCAAGGATCATCACTAAATCTTGCTGAGGCCATAGAAGGGTAACAAGCCCTGCTCCGACCTGACATCTAACCTTCCTGAAGAAACCTCAGAATCTGTCTCATGCCCACTGTCCCCTAAGAAGGCTTGCTGACCCTGCACCTTTCCATTCATAAGTACACACACCCACAGCCAGCTCCTTATCTATGTTTGTGGTGCTCATCACCACCATCGGGGTGCCCAGTTGAGACACCGATTTGGATCCTTCATTCCCCTAATTGTCCCTAATGCACTACCACAACATAAAGATGCCCCTTCTGAAATCTCCCACAGCTTCACCAGGGCCCACACAGCCTCTATTGTGGCTGTCTCCAATCTGAATGCCTTCACTGAACTTCAGGCCTCTGGGTCCAACTGCTCCCTGGACACATCCACTCAGAGCCTCTGGAATATTTGTGATGTGGCCAAAACCTGATTCTTCATATTCACTGTAAAAATTCCTTCTACGGCTGACTTCCCACATCATAACTGATGGGATGTCCATTCTGCTAAACAAAGCCAAAATCTGGTGTTTAGCCATCCCTGACTCCCTACTTCATCTCACTCTCCACATCAGATAGGTGGACAGTTCTGTGCAATACACTGCCAGAAGCCAACCACTCCTCTACCTCCACAGCCACCACTGTTGTCCAGCCAACACTAGCAGTCACCCGCATTGGGGCAGTAACTTCCTCATAAGTCACCCTAACTTTATCTTCACTGCTATCATCTATTGTCCACTCCGTAACCAGAGAGTGTCTGCAAAAACTTGGGTCAGATAATCTCCCTCCTCTGCTCCAAACCTTCCCTAGCTCCCGCCGTCCTCAGATTAGAGGCCGAGAACCAAAGGCTATCATTCTGGGCCTGGTCCTTGCATGCCCTGACCTCCTGCCACCCCTCTCCCTATCCCATCAGATGTAACAGCAATGTGCAATTTCCTAAACATTCCAGATAAGTCTCACCTGCTAGCATTTGAACATTCTGGATCCTGCACCCTGGATGCATGTCACACCTTACCCCAATGGCTGTCTGAAGTGAAACTGACCCATTTAACTCAAGACCCTGAGCTTGGGGGAACCACAGGATTTTCAGACCCAAGAGAGGAAGAAAGAAGGATAGTTGGAGTCTCAGAACACCATTATACCCTATATTGGGGTACCTAAACCATCGAGGTGATAACTAGAGTGGGTGGGAGCCTGGGACATCCTCTACTTAACCATGCAGAGTCCATAAGCATTTCTGCCACCATCATGTGACCCTGTGAGAAGAGGGAGGCCATAAGAGATGGGTAACCATTTCAAGCTGAGCCGGACCACTACCCTGCCTTGCTCTAACATAGAGGAAAGCAATCTCAGCCTGGTCTAAGCTCAGCTCCTCAGACCTCCGTGCTACCTTACCAGCTGGGAGATCCTGAAGAAGGACCGAATCTCTAGGAGCCCTCATGCCCTTATCTGTAAAATGGGCATTAGAATCACTCACAGGGTGGACAGTGGTATCAAACTTAAGTAGAATGCACTATATATCAGCTTTTATTGTCCACACGATCAATGGTTTTGTGTGTTTTCAGTATAAATGAAGCGGTAGGGTTTTGAAAATTTGAGCATGTATTTTTCTCACTTTTTAAGGTTTTCAGAGGATGTGAAACGAAACTTTATGTTGTAAGCAAATACTTAAAACTATATTAACATTCAGACCAATTATTAAGTGTTCAAATAAATTTAATTCAATGTGTTCATTTCTAATTGCCTATCTGTGTGTAGAGGGATGTTGGTTCATTAGTGTTTAAATCAATAACTGTTTCACATAATCTTAAGTTAACTGTGCAGGGAGGCACAGTGCAGGCAGGTCAGCTACTAGCCCTTTCAGTGACCAGGCCTGCCTGAAACATAATCCTCTAAAGGGAGTGTGCAGGAAGCCCTGACTGGACAGTAGAGCATCCCTCTTGCTCTCTCTGAGGGCTGGAGGAGGTAAGAGAGCAGTGGCCTGCTCTAGGACCTAGCTACTCCACCAACCCGCCTGTTTAGCCTACACTGGGGAGAATCTACACTAACTCACAACTCAGCCTCCACCTAGGTCAGCTCCTTACCCCATCTGGACTTCCCTTCCTACAAATTCATCCTATGCCAGGAATGCTCCTTTGAAGAGGGATGCACACCCACCTGTGCCCTGCCCTCCAGTCTGAGGCATTCCCTACTTCACCACAGAGACCATCTAAAATAATAAACTTAAGACTCTCCTTCAATCTGACACCCAGGCTATGGCCTGGTCCAGCCCAACACCCTCTATCCTTTTGAAAGCTCCAAACCAGCCACCTTCCCGGGCCTCCAGACCTTTATGTCCAGCTACCTATGTGATATCTCCATCTCCTGATATCTCCATCTTGAAACATGTCAGAATCATCATGTCCAAATACAATGCATGATCTCCCTGAACCCTGTTCACTGCACTAACTTCCTCATCTCCATTTCTTAAATATTTAGGTAAAAAACTTGGGATGGTCGTTCACTCCCTATTTTTGCTCACAAGCACATGATGCGGCAAGAAATCTTGCTGACTCTATCTTTATGATCTATACAAACTCTTGTCACATCTCTCCTCTATTGCCACTCTGGTTCCGCCCCTCCCATAATTCTCCTGGAGTCCACTGTCATGTCCTACAGTCTCCCTGCCTTCATTTCCCAATCCCTGTTTTAACAACTTTAAACTTCAACTCTGGATATGCCCCTGTATTAGGTTCCAAGACCTAGTTCCAACGTGCGGGGGCGGGGGGCGGCAAGGGGTAGGGAGTGGATTGCCAAACACCAACCAAGTCTTGGATCGCCAGCAAGGTGTCAAAAGAATTCAACTCAGTTCTGACGGTATGTACCCAAATATAGCATCAGATATCACAGGTTAAGGTTCAGTCTACAAGTCTGCCCCCAACTCTTCGGATGCCAGTCCCAAATCCTGGTTGTTACAGTATTTCTGACCCACTGGCTGTAAAGCAGAGGTTCCCAAGACCACCTCCTCAGGTTCAGTTAATTTGCCAGAAATACTCACAGGACTCAGAGAAACACGTCACTTACTAAATTACCAGTTTATTATAAAAGTATATAACCTAGGATGGAAGAGATGCATAGGACAAGATATGTGGGAAAGGGCTTCTAGCTTCCATGCCCTCTCTCCATTCACCACTCTCTCCAAATCTCCATGTGTTCACCAACCTGGAAGCTCTCTGAACCCCATCCTTTTGGGTTTTTATGGAGGATACACTACATTGGCATGATCAATTAAATCATTTAACTAACCTTCAGCTGCACTCCCCTCTAGGGAGGTTCAGGGAGTGGGATTGAAGTTCCAACCTTCAATTCACAATGTCCGGTCTCCTGACAACTAACTTCCATCCTTAGGTGCTTATATAAAGTCACCTCATTCACAAAACAAAAGACACTTTATTACTCTCAACATTTGGGAAATCCCAAGAGTTTGAGAGCTGTCAGCCAGGAACTGTGAGGAAAACCAAATATACATATGAGAAATACATTTTTTCATCCAAATAACTAAATATATACTTACTATAAATCACAACATCACAGCCACTCTCTTCCTTCACAACCTTCCATGGCTACCAACTGCTCAGACTGTCATTCCAGGAGACACTCCTCGCCCACACACCCCTCTTCGCTGGAGACACAGACCCCAGGTTCCCCCAGTACTGCCGACTCAGTAGTACCTGTAGCCTATGCACAGGTCGTCCGAGGGAACTTTCCCACCTCATCACACCGCGGATACCGGGGACCCACATGACACGCCCTCCGGTCTGGACACCGGGGCCTGACTGCAGGGAACCGAGGGGGCGCCCCTTATCCGGGCTCCGCGCTCGGAGGTGGTAGCCGGGCCGGGTGAGACAGGGGGGTAGAGGTGGGCGCCGCACCCACCTCAGTCGGGCTCAGCCGCGCGGCCGCCACCAACGAACGACCTGTGGGACTAATGGGGTCGAAGCCGGGCGACGGGGAGGCAACAGGGCACTGCTGTCACTAACAGGCTCGGTCGGGCCAGAGAGCCGCCTCCAGAGAGGCGGGAATGACGCCTCTCCTCCTGCTTTGTTTCCTTGGTCCCACTCCAGAGCTTCGCTGCCCTAATAAACAGAGAAGAACCCCAAGAAAAGCCGAAAAGCCACAACCAAAGGGTCGCCGCCGGAAGTACTACCCCCACGTGCGTAAAGGCACGTAAACGTCCCTATGCTAAGTCCTCATTGGCTCAGCTCGCCGTCATCACTTGCCGCAGAAGCTTCTGGGAAATGTAATTTCTCCGCTAATACTCTGGCTGCAACGGTTCTGTCAAAGTTTCGGGATAAAGGCCAAGGGGTGATTTGAGGGGCGCTGGGAAATGGAGTTCCCGGGCTCCAAGGACGCAGCGCGGCTTCGTGGATCTTAAAAGAGACAAGTGTCAGAAGTAGAGATCTGTTATTACAGACGCTGTGATACGGGAAATTCCCAAAGGCTGCACTACCGAAGGGACACGCTATACTATAATGTCACTCGGCATCCACTCATAGCTGTCAGCTGTCTTGTTGCTTGTCACATATACAGAAGACTTAAGTTTTGAAGGCTATTTTATGACCTCCAATAAGCTCCGTCCGAGACAAGAAAGAAAAGACCGCAGACAAGATGGGGAGTTGGAAGAGGGAGGTCTTTCCTGCCTGCGTAATCAGTGATTGTGTTCCAACCAAGAAAACATATTTGTTGAGATCATTTTTTCCCTTTTTCTTCATTGAGAGGTTATTACTCCATATCCGAGATATTTTCCATTTCCTTTGAACAATTGAAAGAGCAAAGACATCACATGCCCTCTCCTGCCAAAATAGTGCGTGCCCTCCTAATTATCGAAGCCGGTGTGCAAAGGGGGCGTCTTTAACCTGAGATAAAGGTTTGGGATTCCAGGATCGTATCTCCTTGATGGGAACTGATTTAGCATTTCAGCTGAAATGGCAGCAACAGTGAATACACAGGGAGTTAAAATGACCTCTGAAAAATACTTGTGAAATGGAGGTCATAGAAAGCTATTAATGATCATTAGTTATTCAACGAAATTGATCTCAGTGAAGTTTGAGTGGGAGTAGTGAAGTCTGCAAAGTCAGAGAGTGAACCTGATCTGTGGCTGTCCTAGAACCTTGGCCACATTCAGAGTGTACTTCCAAAACGTGATCCTTTTTCATACTTGAGAACATTATGCCTAACAACTTGGAGGGATAGGTAGAGACATTTTGAAAAACTTGCTGGAAATGTAAAAATGAATAGGGAAGCTGTGCTGTCGTCTATTTACCGCTTTCACAAATGTCCAATAAGCACCTACTGGGTTTCAGGCACAATGGTGGGTTCATGAGACACATCTGAGTTGGGTGGCCCACTGTTCTGTGTATACAGGATATGCCCTGAATCTAATAATTTTGTACTGGGTCCTGTATTGACTTTGTCAGGAAGCCTTATATATCTTGTAACCAGCTTCCTCAATGCTTTACAAAAAGTCGACAGAACTATTTTTCTCCCACTGTAACTGGTGATTAAACCACTTAATGGTTATACTAGCTAAAAACCATACACCCGCAAATAAAAATCTGGGTAATGCCTTATGGTCTCGCCTGCAGGTTTGCCTGAAGGAAGACCAAAAGAGAGGATTAAGAATTAAAGCACTTCTTTTTCATTTTCGGGAAAGGAAAAAAATGTCTTTTATCAACATCTAAAGTCATGAACAAGAAACTACTATTTATTAGAGATAACTTTGGATGAATGACTATATACACTCTGAGAGTCAGCCCATCAACAATAGCGTTACCTCAGTAATTAACCTTCTGAAAGGTAGGGAATCATGGCTAGTATCAAGCTTCTAAGATTCAGCCAATCAGTGATTAGGCCCATGAGGTGTGACCACACTGACAGTAGTGACCACACTAATGCACCTATAAGTTTATCAAACCTTAAACACTTACTGCTCCTGAAAGGTCACTGAGTCTGAGCGCCCGACTGCCCAAACACTTGTTACAGCAGCCTGAGCTTGGTTTGAAGAAACAGACTTACAACTAGAGCCCTCCTGTGCAGGACAATAAGAATTTCACTTTATTTTGCCTTAGATACCAAGTTCAAATTACTGTAATTTACTAACTTTGCAACCCTTTCAACGGTTCAGCCTCTGGGTACAGTTAGTTATGAGTTCAAACATGTGAATGACAAAGGAAACAACGCAGACATAAGACTAAAATAAAATATTTTCAATTCTTGTGAAATTTTATATTATCTATTATTTCTGTATATTGAATAGAAAATGCCAAAATACAGGAGTATATTTTGTGATAAATTTTCTGAAGAATGGGCATTTATTAAATGAGAAAAAATTCTTTTAAACATCTTTGTATGGGATGCATTTGTTCATTCAATATTGGAAATCATGGGCAGTCAAAAATAAATCAGCAGTTAAGTATGTAAAGTGTAAGATTTCACCTAGCAGCAAACAAAATGATAAAAGATTTTTTACTCAGAGGAATTCAGATGAAAATTTTTTAAAAATCAAAGGAGAAGTTGTAATGGCCTTCTACTACACTGTGTATCATCATTAGATTGCCACTTGCAACGCTACTCTGGAGCCTATGTCTCAATAAGGAATGTTCGATGGACAAAGGAATGAAATAAGTTTGATGGGACTACCCTAGAAGCTATGAAATAAAGTAAATGGAATATAGGCACTGACTACAATGAATTTTATTTAAAAAAAAAATACTGCAAAACAAGGAACTATTAAGGAGAGGCGAACTGCCAGAGAAGTGTAATTTTAAAAAGATACGAAACTTAGTTATAATTTCTTTCAGATGCACAACGAATAATTTTTGTGTGTCCCATGCAATATTTTTCTCTTTTCTCAGCTTGCATGTGCATAGGGAATTAGAAATAATTCAAATTTTACTGGGTTAGACATTATTTACTAAATCTGGCAAGTCTACTTTTCCACATTATTATACCTTATCACCCGCTCAGATAATTTCTGCTACTCATCCCCTCAATGGTAAGTTTTGCTGGCTGGGAGGCCTTTGTTCTTAAGGAAGAAAGCCCCCATCAGAAGAAGAATATTATTAAACCTTATTTGGGACATAAGGTAGCTACTTGGACCTCTTGGGCCCCTCTTGCCACTTCGGCAAAAGGGAAATATTCTACTGCCTTGGGTAGTTATGATTACTCTTTATTACAAAGAGGAAGTTGAGTTGCTGCTCTCAATGGGAAACCTGGAGCACTGTTTCTGGAACCTGGGGAATTGTGAGAAATGTTAGTAAGTCCATGTCCAAAAATAAACCTGTAGCAACACAATGAAGGCAGGACTCCTTGGAGAGTCAGACTGTTCTGGTTTTGAATTTTCGGTTTGCCTGCCAGACTAAACAAGCCAAACCAAAACAAAAAACCTCTGTCAATCTGAAGGTCTGCCAGAGGCAAAGGAGTAGAATGGGTAATGAAAAATTAGTGGAAGTTAATTAATGTTCAATATGTGACTGTTAAGAAAACAAGAAATCTTTAAGGATATTTTCCTTCTTGTTTAGGTGTGAGAGTTGGCTACACACATAGACAATGGCCACACCAAGTATTAACTAGAACTCTAACCCATAATCCAGGCCAACCTATCCAAATGGCCAACCAGGTATCCACAGTAACTAGTCCAGGAAGCCGGATTACTATCTCTGGTAACCAGACCAGGAAGTCAAACAATAACATATGTAATAATTGACACAAAACGTCCAGGACTTGATTAATAATCCACAGCTTCCCAAATTTTGCCCACACTTCCAATTTAAGACCAATCACATAGGATTCACGCTTCCACCTAGCCCCACTAAAGCTTTCCCATGGGAACAGCCTCCAGTCAAGGCACACTGGATAACTTGTCTTTTATCCACCATAAAGCTTTTCCACTTCCCTTCTCATGCTGGAGTTTCTCCCAGTACAGGTAATGGTGCCTGATTCTCTTGCTATAGTAAGCTCTGAAGAAATAGGCTTGGCTCATTCTCATTTGAGTATTCACTTATTTCCACAGTTATCTATATTTGAAATCCAATTATGCTACTATTGATCCTGTTTCTCATTATAAATGTTCAGTGGAGAAAAGAACAATATGTCGAATGTGACCACTATGGAAGCTATGATACAATGTATCATACTTATTAGAGGTCTCACTGAGATATGTTCTCCAATGTTCCTCATTTGTGGACTCCAGATTTCGTCCAGGTGCGTTACCCTCAGTGGTCCCTTGTACCTTTCTGCTCACGGTCTGTCAAGACATGGTAAGTCATCTCCAGGTCTGAATGCTGCTCTACTTACCAATGCAAAGTTCCTTGACTATTTAGTCTCAGTTTGGTCTCAATTATTTGTTTGCTTGTTTGTTTCGGCCTCCCATTATCCCTCATGAATATAGATATAAAATACATTTTAAAAATAAGAGAATTGGATGGAGCAACATATGTAAAGGATTATGCTTCGTGACCAGTGGGATTTGTCCCAAGAATGTAAGGTTGGTTTAACATGTGAAAGTCAATAAATGGAGTAAAAGAAGAAACAAACAAAAAAGACCACCACAAGATCATTTCAATAGGTGCAAAAAGTTGGAACAGAACCTCGTTCTTTATCTTAGTGGAAAAGTTTCAAGTTTCTCAGAATTAAGTAGGTTAGCTGTAGGATTTTTGGAGATATTATCAAGTTGAGGAAGTTCCCTTCATTCCTAGTTTACTGCAAGCTTTTATAATGAATGGGTGTTAGGTTTTGTTAGATGCTTTTCCTGCATCTATTGATATGACCATGTGATATTTCTTCCTTAGTCTGTTGGATTACATTATGATATATTACATTAACTGATTTTCCAATATTGAATGAGGCATGCATACCTGGCATAAATCCCACTTGGTCATGCTGTATAATTATTTTTATACATTGTTGCACTAAATAAGCTAATATTTTGTTGTTTTTATATCTATGATCAGGAGAAATATTGGTCTGTGGTTTTCTTATAATGTCTATCTGGTGTTTTGTATAAATATAATGCTGGCCTCATAGAATAAGTTGGGAAGGATTCCCTCTGATTATATCTTCTGAAAGAAATTGTAGAGAATTTACCCTTTTATCATTATGAAACGCACCCCTAGATCCCTGACAACTTTCCTCAGTCTGAAATCTGCCCTCCTTAAACTTAATATAGCCACTCCTGCTTCTTTGGATTAGTATTATCATGGTATATTTTCCTCCATCCATTGTATTTAAACCACTTTCTTGGGGTTTTTTTTATATACATATAAAAAACATATAGTTTGTTCTTGTGTTTTGATTGATGCATTTAGACATTCGAAGTGATAATTGATATAGTTGGATTAATATTACCATATTAGTTACTGTTTTCTATTTGTTGCCCTTGTAGCTTGTTCCTATTTTTGTCTTCCATCTTTTTGCTGCCTTTTGTAATTTTAATGAAGCATTTTATAATTGTTTTCTCTCCTTTCTTATGTTACACTTCTTTATTTTTCTTTTACTTTTAGTGGTTGCCTTAGAGTTTACAGTATACATTTACAGCTAATCCAAATCCACTTTCAAATACACCTTAATATAACAAGATAATCTTCCTAATTTCTCTGTCTCATCCCTTGTATCATTGTTGTTATTCATTTCACTTATATATATTCACACACATACTTGAATACATTGTTGCTACTATTTTTTGGACAAACTGCCATCTGTTAGATTAATTAAGGATAGAAAAAGTAAGTTTTTATTTTACCTTTATTTATTCGTCTCCAATGCTCTTCCTTTGTAGATCTAAGTACCTAACCCATATAATTTCCTTCACTCTAAAGAATCTAACAGCTTAGACACTACTAGAAAAAAGAAGTCAAGCATAAACATGCTTCTGTGATAGCTTGTGTACTAGGCAGATGACTCAAAACTTTTTATTGATAAAAATTTCCTATGAAAATGAACTTAAATTTGTTACTTAGTTTAAATTTCACTTTCCCACTAGAAACAACTCTTTTTCTCAGAGTGATTGTCAGAAAGTAAAAAGCACTTTTCTTAATTATACATAATGCCACTCTAATACATAGAACAGAACTTTGCTTATTCTCATTCGATGTCATGCTATGCACACACAACATGGATCATATACATATGTTTAGTGAAAACAGCCATACAAGAGTAACTGTAGGACCTCTTTTATATAAAATTCTGGAAATGCAAACTATAGTGTCTACCTGAGGATGGCAATTCATTTAGTGCTGTGAGAGAGGATACAAAGGGGCCAATGAAAACTATAGAGTAATGGGTATGTTCAATCTTATGACTTTGGTGATGGTCCCATTGTACACACATACGAAAATATACTTTACACTTTTAATAAATGCAGCTTAATGTATGTCAATACCAAGCACCTAGCTAGCTCAGTTGGTAGGGCATGGGACTCTTAATGTATGTCAATACCTCAATAAAGCTGTTAAATAACGATTTCATATAAAATCTAGATTTCCTCTTCTCCTAAAAATATAACATCTGGCAAAGCTGTACTGACTCTATCAGCACCATTTCCCATGTCTTTAGGTGGCTCAACTCTGATTCCTTCTCAAAACAGAAGGAAATGCTGACAAATGCTTCAACATGAGGAAATTATACAAAGCAAAACAAGCCAGTCATTAAAAAGAGAAATACTGTATGATTCCATTCATATCAAGTATCCAGAGTTGTCAAACTTGAAGAGACACAAAGTAAAATGTGGTTGCCAGGTGAAGTAGGGTGGGGGAGGTAGGAGGATTTGTTTAATGATTATAGAGTGTATTTTGCAAGATTAAAAAAATACTAGAGATCAGTTGCACAAATATGTGAATTTTTAACATTACTAAACTGTACAATTAAAATGGTAGAGGGTAGACTTTGTTAGATGTATTTTTCTCACAATTAAAAATGTAAAATAAAAAAACTACATTACAGTAGCTCCCAGGGGTAAATTAGAGCAGAATTTGGCTGAATTATTTCCTCATTTGCAGTACTCTCTCTGGTGTGAACTTTCTGGTGCCAGAATGTGGTGGGAGTTTTGGCCGAACACATGCCCATATTCATTGCAATCATCAGGTCTTTCTCCATTGTGAAATCCCTGATGTGTGATGGGGATAGAGTTGCACCTAAAGGTTTTCCCACATTCACTGTACTCAGAAGGCCCTACTCCAATGTGAAGTCAGAAGGCAATTCTCCAGTGTAATGAGTTTAGAGTGTTACCTAAAGGATTTACCATATTCTCTGTACTCATAAGGCCTTTGCCAGTGTGAATTCTGTTTAAAGAAGTTGGAGTTGTATCTAAAGAACTTCCCTCATTCGTGGTACTCATGGACCTGTCCTGATTGTGGATTTTCTGGTGATGAGCAAGGTGAGACTTTCTAATGAAGGCCTTCTGACATTTGCTGCACTCGTAAGGCCTTTCTCCAGTGTGGATTTTCTGATGCTCAACAAGTATATGTTTGTGGCTAAAGGCTTTCCCACATTCATGGCACTCGTAAGGCCTCTCTCCAGTGTGATTTCTCCAATGTTTAATGAGATTGGAGTTATACCGGAAGAATTTCCCACATTCACTGCACTCATAAGGCCTTTCTCCAGTGTGAACTCTCTTATGTCTAATGAGTCTGCAGTGGTACCGAAAGCCTTTCCCACATTCACTGCACTCATATGGCCTTTCTCCAGTGTGATTCTGCCAATGTTTAATGAGCTTGGACTTGTACCTAAAGAATTCCCCACATAAGCTGCACTCATAGGGCCCTTCTAAAGTGTGAACTCTCTGATGTCTCAAGAGTGTAGAGGTGTACCTAAAGAACTTCCCACAGTCACTACACTCGTAAGGCCTTTCTCCAGTGTGGACTCTCCGATGTTTAATGAGTGTAGAGTTGTACCTGAAGAACTTGCCACATTCACTGCAACCATAAGGCCTCTCTGCAGTGTGAACTCTCTGGTGTCGCATGAATGTGGAACTGTACCTAAAAAATTTCCCACACTCGCTGCACTCGTAAGGCCTTTCTCCAGTGTGAACTCTCTCATGTCTTACTAGTCTGTAGTTGTACCTAAAGAATTTTCCACATTCTCTGCACTCATAAGGCCATTCACCATTGTGAATTCTCTGATGTTTCATAAAGTTGGCTTTGTACTTAAAGAATTCCCCACATTTGCTACACTCATAAGAGCTTAATCCAGTGTGAACTCTCTGGTGACTTATGAATGTGGACTTGTACCTAAAGGCCTTCCCACATTCACTGCACTTAAAAGGCTTTTCTCCGGTGTGAATTTTCTGGTGCTGAACAAGATGGAACTTTCTAATGAAGGCCATCCCACATTTGTTGCACTCATAGGGCCTTATTCCACTGTGGATTTTCTGGTGCTGAACAAGTATCTGTTTTCGGTTGAAGCCTTTCCCACACTGAGTGCACTTGTAATCTTTTTGTACAGTTTCAAAGGCCTCTCTGCACTTGGAGTCGCCATGTGGCTTCCAGCTACTGTCAGCGACTGGGTGCTGAAGAAGGCCTGTGCTGGCTGAGAAGTCCTTCCCACCCTCGCTGCATGTGAAGGTCCCCTCTGCCCTGTGAATGCTGCCATTCATCACAAACAAAGGCCTCCCCTCATCCCTCCTGGAAAGTTTGTTTCCAACCTGGTCCATTTGGCACTGGTAAAGATTTTTCCCACAAATGTATAGCCTTTGATCAGGGTACATTTCATCACACTCGACCAGGTGCAAAATGTCTTTCAAGAGTGGGTCACATGTCTCATGAGGCTCGGCCTTCTGAGTGGATGGGTCTGGCTTTGGAGTCCTGACCTGTGACTCTTCCACAGAATCACCTTGATCAGAAGGTACTTCCTCATCTTGGGCTCTGTGCCAACAACCTGTAAGCAGAGACATGCCAGTGAATGCATTTGACTTTGGTGAGACGGGGCAGCCCCATCACAGATGAGTGTTAGAATGAGTCCACGGGGCTACCAAGAGGCAAGGGGGCCGAGAGCCAGTGAGAGAAAGGCCTGCTGTGCAGAGTTGGGCCTGGGAAGCTCATGGTGGGAGAGCCCTGATGATGAGGAAGGCCCCAAGGACGGGGTTATGTCTTAGTCCGCTCAGGCTGCTATAACAAAATACCACAGACTGGGTGGTATTTTGACAACAAAAATAATCTTATAAGCAACAGAAATTTATCTTTCACACATCCAGAGCCTGGAATTCTGAGATTAAGGAGCCAGCATGATTGGGTGAGAGCCTTCTTCAGGGTCACAGACTTTTTGGTTCCTCACATAATGGAAGGAGCTAGGAAGCTCAGTGGGGTCTCTTTTCTAAGGTCATTAATCTCATTCATCAGGGCTCTGTCCTCTTAATGTAATCACTCCCCAAGGCTCCATCTGCTAATATTATCACCTTGGGCATGAGGTATACAACATAGGAATTTGGGGGGACACAAACATTCAGACCACAGGAGGTACTATGTAGGGAGGAGAGGTAGGATCTCTCATTCACTCCTCTGCAAATGGCTTTCAACAAGGTCATGGCTGCTGGTGACTGGTTAGCACTATGTAGAAGGTTCTATACAGACCTAGAAATACCTGACTACTACATAGATGCTGCAGTTCAAAGACTATTAAAGGATACCTGCAGCCCTCATGACACCTTAAGTGTAGGCTAAATGTTGGAAAGCGCAGCAAAGGGAGCAATGAAACAGAATGAGTGAGAGGTAAAGGCCTCATAGGTGTGTTGGAATATGGCAGAAAGAGGATTAGAAGTCAGAGTAGAAATGAAAATGGGGAAGAAATAGTAGAAATGAGGTGTGGTCACTAGTCCTGGCATCAAACAATGATGAAAAAAAGACAGGTTCCCAGCTCTGACATCACACCGTTTCCCAGCTCCCTCGCACCAGGGCCATGTTCTTTTGAGTGTCTCTTGCCACTGATGTACTGTATCCACTCAATCAGGCACCCAGGACCTCTCTGAGCACTGATGTGGCACCTGAAGAGGCCGATTCTAGGTGAAAGACAGGAAAAAAGTGGCCAGCATATGTTGAGTGATCCAACACTGGCCATCTCTCATTCTACAATGAAAAGAACTTCACAGGACAGACAGTAGAAACAATCCAGGGATCCCCCAAATTAGTAACTAATTCGTGCCTAAAACTGTCGGCACAGGAAGATCCCAAGAAATGTCAGCAAGAGGAAGGGGTAAAGCCTGGGGCCCCGAGGTTCCAGTATCTAGGCTGAGTGAGCTGACCAGGGACAAGCTGGGTGAGAGGGACCTCCTAGACAGACTTCAAGATTTCTGACTCCTGAGCCCTGTCTGTGGGTACTCAGAGCAGCAGGGATGGGGCCTCATGGGGACAGCAAGTACAGGGCACACAGGCCAGCCCTGTATGTGCCAACAACACATACACCAGGAAGCCATGAGAGGCGGTAGTGCTCACAGTCTGGCTGTGGGGAGGACAGAACTGCCCATAGGGAAAAGGGGAAGAACAGTGCCCAGCCCAGGACCCTGGGGTAGGTGTGAGGGCCTTACCTACAGAGGACAGAAGTGCAACGTTCTCCATCATCACATCGTGGTACAGGAGTCTCTGAGCTTCATCAAGGAGGCCCCACTCCTCCTGGGAGAAATGGATGGCCACATCTTCAAAGGCCACATGGCCCTGCCAAAATTGGAAGAGTTTGGTTCATGAGCAGCTTGGTTTAACTGTGTTTTTGTGGATTCTGTATGTGTCTCTTTGCCATCCATTAATTGCACAGCTAAACTAATGGCCAAATTTGTTTACATCATCCTTGCGATCCAGAGCCCACTGTCTGACTCATCTCCTTAACTAACTCTCACACACCACATGGATATTTCCCCGACCCTGACTCAGCCCAGGGCGAGGTATGAGACAACTGGAGACAGCTCCTACACCCAGGCACACCAGGATTATACAAACTAGCCATCCTTAAGCTTTTCCTCTCATGTTCCCTGCACATCCCTCAGAAAGACCAATAAAGGCTCTGATCTCAGGTTCCCCTCATTCAGGCTTTCCCACGTGGCTCTGTATTATATGGTGCTACCCCTCCTCTCAGGAAATATAATAAAAACCTTCTTTCAATGTCGTTGGCCTCTCCATGTCATCACTCATTCACCTCCATAAATTAAAATCCTGTGGGTACAATCACTCATTCACTTCTCTTTCCACGATCTTCAGTCCTCCCTACACACATCCCCACCTCTGCTCATCCTCCCCTCCTACCTTCCAGTGTTGGAAGTTACCAGATGCTGATGGCCCCAGTGCCTGCTCTCTCTGCAGTACCACTGAACACTGTGTCCAGCACACAACATAAATCATTTGGGGGACAGGACAGAAAAGTGCCATCTAGGCTGTGGGCCCAAATTCCTTCTTGGGGTCCCCCAGATCTTGACTCTTCCTCTCACCTGCAATCAATCACTGGACAGCACCTCCCTCATGATTCTGACCCCTCACAGTGACAACTCCAAAGAAACCCCCAGCCCACACATAGGCATTTCCTTCACCTCCAAACAGGCTACTTTACACATGGAATCCAGGCAGTGCATGGCAAATGCATCCAGCATCCAATTCAGCCCCACTCTTGCCCATGAATGACAACATCTCCTAGTGCCAGAGCTAGCCCCAAGCCTTGCTTTGAAGGTCTCCCCACCTGGCTGTTTCTCGCTTCATCTTCAGCCACCCTTCCTAGGTGAGGACCCCATGTACCTTAACCGTCTCTCCCCTCTGCATTGCACTAGTTGTCCCATAAGTAGTCAGAACTTTCCCCTCTCCTTATCTGAAACTCAATAACACTGACCTCCCACCCACACTCACATTCCACCCTTGGTCTAGTAACTCTCCTGCCTGATCCCATTTGCCCCCTCAACATCCATCTCGTGTACACTCTGGCCTTGGAGGTCTGTCTCAGTGTCTCTGTCTCTGTCTCTCTCTGTCTGTGATGCTCATCACACCATCCAGCATCCCAGTCAGGAGATCTGTCCCATCCCTTGTGCTCTATAACCTAGAGATGCTGCCTCCTATACCATTCCTCTACTTCCACAGCCACCACTCTAGTGTAGCCACCTCCAACACACACCTGGACTGTTGCAAGAAATTGCTGCCAGGTCTCCCAGCCTTCACTCACACCCCTAGTCTGTCTTCCACTTTACATCCAGAGGAGGCCTATTAAAATCTGGGTCACGGTATCTTCCTTTTCTGCTTTAAACCTCCACACCAACCTCAGATTAGAGGCCCGGGGCCTCAGGCTGTCCATTCAAGCCCTGATATACATGCAACCTACCCATTCCCTACCTGGCTTCCCATTTCCACCTGATATGAGACCTGCAGTTTTCTGAACATCCCAGCAAGTCACCTGCAAGCATCTGAACATTCTAAATCCTGTGGCCAGGGCTCCCTGCCACAATCTACCCCATCAGCTGTCAGAAATGGGAACAGCTCCATCTAACCTGGGACTAGATATCAAATCCTGGGCTTCATGAAAGCACATGGTCTTCAGACTCAAGAGAGTAAGAGGGATGGGAAGAGTCTCAGGACACTATCATTCTCTAAGGGTATGTATGTATATACATATACATATGTATATATTATATATATATATATATATATACACACACACACACACACACACACATATTATATATATGTGTGTGTGCGTGTGTGTGCTCGTGTGTGTGTGTATATATGTGTATATATATGTATGTATGTGTATATATATAAAGGGGGGGGGGGTGAAAGGC